ATATCATCCATCATATCCATCATACATACATATATACAAACTGGTGAATGAAATGTGACTGCGAAGGAAATAAAAAGATCTGTCAAGTAACTACAATTGAGCAATTAATTATATATTGTCATTATTTGAGATGTCTGCTAGTACTTGTTGATCGATCCACCATCCATTCCATAACTTTGGTCTTGTTCCTGATTTAAAGAGAGATTGAATCATTTTAAAATAGCCAAATCACAACCTACCTTTAAGAAATGTATTCTTCATAAATTTTATCACTAGTTTAAAAATTCTCCAACAATAATAATGTTATTGATAATTTGTTTTATCCGACTATTAATTCCAATATGTAAAATTAGAGACATTGTTGGTGCTTTCATTGATAAATATATGATAATTGGAATTGACTGAATGTATTATTTTTCGAAAAACCCATTTTTGATTCATTAGTATTAGTATTAAGTGCATTGATGAATGAATGTTATCTGGGTGTTACGAAAGCAATCAATCAAAACAATCAATTTTAAAATTAGAAATATGAACATGAACGCTGTTTTTACAAACTACGTTTCATCTCATAATGTTGCCAAGTGATTTTGTAGACTCATTTTGTGCATTTACAATTCACATTTGTGAAAATTATAAAAGAAATTTGCAACTTTCATAGATTTCAATTTTACACACAACAAGGAACAACCACTCCTCATTATATCGTTTTCTTGAAACCCTTTATAAATTGGAAAATTTTTCATGTCAAATGGATTTACAAGTTTCTCACCAGATACAATATTAATTGTTTTTTGGTTCTACACCAAGTTCGATTGTAAATGAATTAACCATACATGCACCAACTAGCAATCACTGTCAATGGAATATACAGTGAAATAAACGTATTAGCATCCAAACGTTTTGCCTTGCTTTCTCAACTCCATCCATATCTTTATCAATGTATTTAATTCCTATTCAGACCAACGCTGTGACCCTAAACAGTTTCGGGAGAGAACCTACTCTAAGCCTAAACCAACCCTTTAAAATCAAGCCTGGGCCATCCCGGTGGTTTGGTTTAAGGTTTCTCCCAAGAGTTTTGGGTCGCTGCGTTGGTTCAGACATCTTTGTTGTGCAACCGAATAGATAAATAGGTGACCGCAAACAACCAAAGATGAAATAGTAGGTGTTTGAGTAGCTGAATATAAAACATCAATTATAATCCAAATTGATACTTGCGGGCAATTGAATGCTCAAAGGCCTTTTTTTTTTTTGGATAAGTTCCCATTATTATTATTATTATTATTATTGAATTTAAGGGTAGGGGGAATCACGTGATAAATCAATAGTAAATCATGGATCAAAAAATTTTTGTTGGTTTCAATGTTGATCATCACAAAATGTCCAATAAGTTTTCCTATTACTATGATAATAATATATTTTAAGTATTTTAAATGTGAAATGAATATTTGTTACTAAGGGATGAGTATATGTTAATATGGGATGAGTTCTTTTTAATATGGGATGAGTTATGGGATGAGTTTCTCTAATTAGGGATGAGTTTGTTTTTTGAAGAATTTTAAAAGAAGATTTTATTCAAAAACACTTTCAATAACTACTATACAGCAGAATACACATATAGAATAACACAGGAGTTATTTGAATGCATCTCATGTAGCTTCACCTTTAAGACAATTATTGATTTGGAAAAGTCAAATTTTGATCCCGGATTTTGTATTAGATTATCACGTGATTCCCCATACCCTTAAGGCATCAAAATTATTTTGGGGTTGCTAAATTAATTAATGATCTGCAAGACCATTTGAAATAAAGACGCAAAATGTCTTCAAGAAGAAAACCATTTAGAACCCCTCATAGCTCAATCAATATTGATAAGATCGCATCTAGACGAAGAAAAGATTTTGAACATACTCTAAGAGATTGTGATGAATTATTAAATTTTATTGCACGTGGATATGTATATGCAACTGAAAGTGCTGTTGATTTAGAAGAAGGTGGATCTGAGGATGAGGTTTTTACTTAATTATTCATCAAAACAGCTTTAATTAAAAACATCGATAATGTATAATATTAATTAATTAATTAAGGTAAAACAATTTGATGATAATATGAGAAAACTTGTGGATTTTGAGACTAAATTAAAAATAGAAAAAGAATCGATAGAAAAAATTATTGTCAAATGTGATTCAGGACAAGAAATTGTAATAGCACTAATATTAATTAATATTAATAATACTTTATTTAATCTTAATAATTATTATCATTACTGATATAAAAAAGGACTTATTGGATTC